GCCAAAGTTCAGTGTAAGTAGGCAATAACACCCCTGGCAGTACCGGAGCCGGCATAATACATTGCACCGCGCAGAATTGCAGCAACAGAAAAATTGGTTTCCGTGCAGTATATTAAGCCTGGTGACGTGGACACCTATTACAAATCTTATCCGGACATCGATTAATCCAACGAACCTTGTTGCACGTTTTCATTGTAAATATAAGGCAGTTTGTTTTATTTCATTGTAGGTTTTCTGTTTTTCTGTGAGCCATTCAACTCGGCACATTTCATTCGATGGGAAAAACCCACAGCGGAGATTTGTCATTTTCTGCTATAGTTTTTTTTCCTTTCCCAAAACGTGTGAGGAATTTGATTGCGTGATCCAACTCCCCCCCCCCCTCACCACCACCACGCTCGGGGTGATTTACTAAGCTCGCCATGGGAACACCTGCTGCCACTGTCAAGGTGTGCCCCTGATGGATGGGGTCAGCACCAGAGGGCAGTCTCTGACCACAGCTCACTTGGGCCACTGACTTGCCACACAACCTGTCCTCATCTTTGTTCCGACACGTGTTGGCACGCAGCATTACCCTGCAAGCCACGAATGCAATATGTGGCTGTGAGGAACGATGTGGCTCTCGGTCTGTCTCCCTCTCTCTCTCTCTCTGAGCGGAGGCCGCCATTGGCTTGTGCTCCCCCCACCCCCTCTCCGTGTTATAATGTGGCAGCATTGCCTGCGGTCAGGGGCACGCTGCGAATGAGTGCCCCTCTGGCTGGCTGGCTGAGTCCCTGATTCGCCACTCTGCCAGGTGGAGTGTGCAGATTTCCACAGTTGGCTACACTTAGCGGCAGTCGGGCGGCTATTACTTTTGGTGAATAGAACAGCAAATGAGTAGCGTGGTGTTTGCACGGGATATTACCACCTGCACCTGGCACGATAAATTTACAAACCTCATCGCAATAACATCATTGAAAGTGAAACAAAATCCATGCGTAGTGTCCTCCTTTCCCGAGGCGTGTGTGTGCGTGTGGCGTGCGGCGCACGTACTCAGTCGGAGACGAGGTAGTTGCAGGAGGCACCGTCTCTCTTTATTATCTCGTTCAACTCCAACAACTCCGGCCTCCTCTCTCGCGACCCCGCTGCCGTACGGCCCGGCCCAGACACGACCCTGTCCGCGTTGCACCGACAGCATCGACCGGGACAGCCCACCGCTGTTCGGCCGCGCAATGATCAAGCCAAGGCGGCAGCGACGACGAGACGAGTCCACTCCCAGAACCGGCAGCCAGGAGCCCTCGCTTTCCACCGCTTTTATTCCCCTCGGCGCGGCCTGGCTCCTCCCTAGCCGCACCTCCCTTCTCGAACCCACCAGAGGGTTCCAGGGGCCTCCCCGCGAGGTCTCCCGTGACCCTTGCCCCAGTTCCTCCGCCCTGCCGGCATTCACATCGTGTGTATGTCGACGGCGTGTGCGCTAAGTGTCCACCTGCAGTTGCTGCTGCTGTACAGCAGTCGGCGCTGTGTCACTACACAAGTGTAATTGTGAAATTTTTCAACAACAAAAATGGCGATGTTTTAGTTTAACAGCACAAAATTGTGCTTGTGTACGGATAGGGCATGAATGTGCAGCTCCAAGCATCGCTGGCATTGTGACCGATCTTATCTCGCCAAATTTTTATTTAAAATAAGCACGGTTTTCTTTACCTTTTTGTAACGACTTGCCATCCAGAACGCTGCGGTGCTACGTTGACCACGTGATAAGCCACTTCGTTGTGCTATAATTGTTGATAGGTAGGTCGCTTCTGAAAAAGGAAGCAAATAGCTCAGTGGGCTATACCTGGTGAAATCAAAATAGTTTAGTTTCATTATTTTAGTGATTCCCTTACTCCCATTGTGTTTTTGTATCGGTTTGTTGTTGCATCTTTCTGACCCGCCCCTACACCTGTGCAAAAGACCTTCATAGCCCCATCGGATTCCTCCAGGATAATTAATTATCGATTGATTCTGTAGAAATATCGGTGTTGACCACTGGGTGTGGGTCCCCCCCCCCCCGCCCCTTTTGCAGGGTTGCTAAACTTCCATCGGCCTGGCCTGCTCGCCACTGCCGCTAAACACTTGGCGCACATATGACCGGCGCCCCACGGCCACGGCCATGGGCTCTCTTCGTGCCATGGTTATAATTTAATGTCCTGGATCGGGTATAGTAATGGTAATTATTGACAATTTACCAAAATGGTCATGGGGGTTGTTTGATTACACTTCATGATGCTGGTAGGTGCAGGTTGGTGAAGGCAGGAACAAAAGCTTAGATTTCACTCCCCACCGATGTTAGCCATGGGTGGGAATCGAACTCGTGCCTGTTGGCCAGATTCGTGGCGCAGTGCGCTAATCACTCCGCCGCAGGTCCACGCCTCTCATCATTGTCGTAAAATATTCTTTTTTACTCGGAAAAAGGCCATCGATATCACCTAAAAATCCTCACAAAGTAGACCCAGCCTGGCACAAGCAGTACAATGCATCCGCAGCAGTGGTTCGATTTCAAATGCCACGTTGATGTTTGCGCTACCACCCTGGGTGCTGGGATTTACACAGGGGCCTTCCCATTACCGGGGAGGGGTCCGCGCGTTCACGTTCAAGCGACGGAGCCGCCGTTTCAACGTTCGCATTATTTCCACGGGCGAAAGGCCGCTCGCCGCCAGTACATACGGCGCACCAGTGCCGTCCGCGTCTGTGTAAACAAGACACTGGGCTGGGGCCAGGGTGTGGGTGAGACAGAGCCAGAGAGAAAGAAAGGAGAAAAAAAATAAATGGCACTTGCATTGAAGCAAAGATTGCCTAGGGGATGCTGGCCGGACGGTGATCAGTGTAATCGCTGAGCTTTAACGGATGCGCTTATAGTCAATTACCCCAGACAAGTCTTAAGCTAGCGTTGCAAGATGTCTGAAAGCTTTTTGGAATGCAGCTAATATCGAAATATCCACACCACTCTAGGGCCACAGATGATAATGCACGGAGACTTGAGTCTCTTTCCCCCTCCGTTGAATGACAGGCCCAAGTAGACACCAGCGTGCCGGTCTTCTTCGCACGGGCTGATGTCTGGCAGCTCCTTAAGCGCGCACACTCGCGCTCCCACCGTTAACGCCTGTAGGTGCCGCGACGGAACGCCGCGGCGATCTTCTGACAAATCGTTCGCACGATCGCCAAATTGAGCGGCGGCTAAAACGTGTGGAAAAAATTTTCGCGGTTTAAAAAAAATTCTGCCGGTAAAATCGGAAGACATTGCCGTTGTTAGGTAGAGCTGCAGGACAAAGGGGCTCGTTTCTTCGGCTCGGTCTTTATTAGGGTCTATTGGGGTTTTTTTTGTTACCCAAACCATCATTTTAATGACCTTCTCCAAGCAAGAACTTGAATGTAAATTTAACCCCCAAAAGGTCAAACCCATGCTAAGTGTTTTGGCCTAATTGCATGCTCGGGACTTGTTTCTACGGCCGGTAAAATATGTAGACCTGCCCATGAAGGGCGCACAATTGGAGACGAACACGGAAAGCTACGCCCGAGAATTAACTGCATCGTCCACACATAACTAACGAGAATACAAAAATCATCTGAAACCTTGACTTTCACACAAAATTGTCATATAAAATTAGATGTAAAAAAACGGCAGTAAAATATATACATCCGTATATATTCCAGGCCTATCCAGGCAGGTCAAAAATGATTAACTTTAATGGAAAAAAAAACCCCAGTGGCGCTTTTCTTCGACCCAGAATAGAGAGTTAAGAAGTGTAATGATGGTCAATGGTGGCCACACGTCAAGGTTGAATTCTTCACGGTCCCGAACACGCAAGCGGAGCCAGCATTGCTGCTGCCCACCACCTTGGCAAGCCGTGCCTCTTGCTCGCCCGCTTGACGCTCGATCGCTGCCAGGAAACCGTGCCGCCGTTTGGGACGTCTCATTGAGCCCCCCCCCCCCCCCCCGTGCCACACACCACACTGACGGATCCCCTTCCGACCTCACTGTGCAAAATCCCCGACTCTGAACGCCTCGCACGATGTCCTCCAAACGAGATGTTTGCAGCCAACACGTCCCAATTATTTAGTTTTTTTTTACATATTAATAAGTGATTTCATGGATTTTCCGCTTCCAAAACTTTCATAGCGTTTTTAAGAAAATAATTTGTCCCTTTTTGCGATTAGATTTTGGTATTGACAGTTTGGGCAGTGGCTCTCGAACTGCGCTATAAAGCCCCAGCGTACCCGAGTTTAATTCTCGCCAATGGATGTCGGTGGAAAGTGATTTCTGAAATTTTCCTGGGCCCCCCACCCCTTCACCATCCGGCACTGACCGGTGAGCTGGCATGCCGTCAAGCAACCCCCTTGATCCACACAGTGTGGGGGGGGGGGGGGCGCTTTAATCCACTATTGTATTGGCAAAGAACTGTAAATTATTAAATATCATTGTCTTGAACAATATATGCACCATTGGTCCACTCTGCTGAAACCTTTCCTCCCGTTGAACCATAGGCAAGTGTTACCCAGCAATACGCACTGCCGTAAACACACACATATAAACCAGTACACAACGGAAATATTTTTTTTGCATTACCGCCACCACTTCCATCGCAGCAAATGACTTCCCTTCCACTTGCGCCGCTCGATTTTGGCCGGGCAGCGAGAGGCGCACGATGAAGGTTCGAGAAACGGCTGCTCTCGCAGGGCGCACCGTCGCCACCGCTCGTCGCGCTCGCGTAAAACGGGGCCAATAAAACGGCGCAGATCCGCAACGGATTGTTTCGTTTTCTCATTACATTTGCGCGATTTACGGCGCGGACAGCTCCTGCGCGGACAATGACGCGAAGCCGCCGCTCTCTCCCGTTGCATTTTCTCCGAGGGGTGGGGTGGCGGGCTCTCGGCGCGACGTGCCCCGACGAGAGGGTTCAGCTCCTTGGTGCGGCTTCTACGGGAAGTGCAAAAAACCTGCGACGGTGCCGTAATGACGCGCGACTGCCGCGGCTGTTTTGCAGGGTAAACGTGGCGACCCTGGTACCCCGGGAAAGGACGGGCTGCAGGGACTGCCGGTAAGTCGGAGGCGAGGCACGAAATCCGACAGCGAGGCTCCACCGCCTCTCTGATATCATCTCACTGCTGGCAGCGATTACGGGCCGTGCTGATTTAATTGTGCGGACAGCGCCGCTCGCATGGACAATCCCGCTCTGTGTGCTTTGTAAACAAAATTTGCGAGGGGACATTTCGTCCGTTTGGCAAAGTTGCGCGCTGACGTCGGCACAAAATAATCTTCTCCGATGGTTTGCGGTGAAATGGTTTCGTTCCTCGGGGCATTAAAAAAAAATGTGGTTTTGGAAATAAAGGTTTCAGGCCATGTGCATCGGGCACAGCTGTTGCAATTCATGCAGGTTTTTGTTTTCTTTTCTCACACCCAGCGTTCGTTTTACGTACACTAATGAACGTGATCTTCCACAGGATGCGAACTTCAATAATGACGGCTGCTCGTGAAGTTTTGGAATGTTTCTTGCCTGATGTTGTTAGGTTTCTTTTAAGTGCTGTGGGCCTTTTGCTCTCACTTGCAGACTAAACATTACAGACCACGAGCACTTTCACCAACCCCATTATTAGAGACTGGGAATTGCAGTGGATGGAAGGGCACTTAAAGGTCACGAAATTATGGGAGACTTGGTACAAATTACAGGAGGTTGTAAAAATGGGTGCCATTTACACCGGCAAACAATTGGGCTTGTCTGAAAGCAGTTGGGCAATTTCGAAGGTCTATTGATTTGTAGATGGAAAGCAGAGGCCGATGTCAGAATATTTTACGTTTTAAAGGTGCATTTGCAATACAGTACTTTGTTGGTCCATTACTTTGAAAGCCAAGAACACCAACACATGTTGTTAAATCAATTGCTATGATTTGATTTCATGTATTGTGATGACATATCGCATGATGACGGCGATGATGGTAGTTGTGGTGGTTTTAGTGCTGGTGGCGCTAATGGTAGTGGTGTTCATTGTGGTGCTGCTTCTATTGGTCATGGTGGTGGTGTCTGTTCCAATGGTTGTTCTGGGAGTGATGCCGGCGGCAATGATAGTCGCGCTTTTGGTGGTGCTGGTGGCAGTGGTGTCTGTTGTCGTGATTGGTGGAGGCAGTGCTGATGGTAGTGGTGGTGTTGCTGCTGCTGCTGCTGCTGCTGATGACGATAATGGCGTTGCTTTGTCACGGCGGCTGTGCTGGCAGGGACCCTGCCGATGATAGCCCATTGCCCGTAATGCACTCACGGTGATGTTTGTCTCCTCTGCGAAGGGCGAGCAAGGGACCGCGGGAGAACCTGGCCCACCCGGACCCATTGGCCCCTCGGTAATGCCCACCCCTCTGTGACCCAAGTGCCGTGACGCAGCAGCCCAGGGTTACCTTGCCACGCTAGCGACATCGTTTTTCGGTTCAGCCGCTAACCGTGCGCGCGCCGGCACCTGTCGCGCGTCGTTTCGAGCCTTGCCGGTGACGCTGTGCGTGTGGCTCGCAGGGACTCCCCGGTGAAATCGGCAAGCCAGGAAAGCCGGGCGATGCAGGACAAGCCGTGAGTGACATTTTGTGCGTCCGCATGCAAAATAAAAACAACCGAGACAGCCAACGGTGGATGACCTGGGGTCATCGGAGGGGGGGCTGAGAGGAGGAGGAAGAGGTTGCGTCAGTCAAAAAAACACAACTGAATTGGTTAATTGGGTAAAAACGCAAAGCGATAATACCCTCTACTGGCAACCTGTCTGTCAAACATCGAACCTTCGTGGCAGCTGTGCACGGGCTATAAGAATGGAGCGAATACCAAACATACGAAATGAATGCAATGCATCTGTTTGCTATGAAAGCGTACGAGCCGGCAACTCGCGTGGAGCGAGAAGCAGACAATAATTAAACCAGCGGCCGTAAAGATGTTGTAGCTATTGTTTAAAAAGCACGGCTAATCCACAACCCTGGTACTCTGAGCACAGATAATTCAATCAAGTGTTACGTATACCAACTTTGCGGTGATGTATGGTCATTAATCGGCGTTCATCAATTCAAATATTCTCGTATGCTATAAATCTAAATTGAAAAATAATTTCTCTAAATGTAAAACTCATTTCTTTAGAACTGCTTTGTAGTGTTAGCTTGTTGTCTGATTAGCACGGTCGGCTACGTACGGTGCGAAAAAAGTTCAACGTACATACACACATCAGATTTTTATTGTAAGAATGTATTCTTTACAATTCATGCAAATTGTGTGTTTTATGTGTGTGTGTCTTTTATGTCGACGTGGCCTCGAGGCCAATGGTTTAAATGCTCCGATAAATGCCCCCAAAGTAAAAGAGAAATCATACTAATGAGTTCGGTCAAAGAAAAATGTTAAACTTGACAGGAAAATAATAAATTTTTGACTCGAATCATGGCTACGAATTGTAGCGATTCATCAACTCACGAGGCGTATGTATTTTTGCTCATCCATCGCTAATGAAAGAGAGCGAGAAATTAATACAAAGTATTTTTTTCTATCTTAGGGTCTTCCCGGAGAAGACGGTAAAGCTGGGCAGCCTGGGATCCCGGGAGAAAAGGTGAGATAATTACAACTTCGTTTCCTTGCCTGCACGCGGCACGAGTAACGAGGCAGTCAGATGCAAAAAAATATAGACGCGGAAATAAAAAAAAATGTTTTACTTTCCTGCGCATTGTGAGCGTTGATTCAGTGTAGGGAGAGAGATGATGAGGCAGGGCAATTAGTTGTGAGAAACTGACATGCGAGATTTAAAAAAAAAAACTTTTTTTTTGTTAAACCAATTAAACAGTTACATCAGTAATTTTAATTGCAGAATTAATTGCGGTACTGATGATCAGCTCCATAGTTGCGCTACGAGAATTTCCGTACTTCAGTATTTATGCTGATATTAGTGTGTTCTGTTATATGGTAGCTTGAAGCACTGCGGTATTAAATTCAACACGACATTACAAACTGCACCTCGGCACCGCAACGTCTGTGTTTCTCTGGAATTGTCCACCCCAGAGGGCAACTATAGTGCATTTAAAGTCTATGCCGCAGTCATTACACACCGAGGCAACATCCTAAAGTAATGTTATCATTACTACTCTTTCCACGACCGTACATTACACGAAATTATAATAAATGGTGGGGATTAACATTACAGGAAGATGATTTATATCACGTTTTATTTTATTCCGGTACTTTAATATCAGAGCACATCTTTTCTTACGTGCCGCATTGACCCCTGAAAATGTGTACGCGTGTTTCTAATGGAGTGTCCCGGGGTGGGTTTTCTTTTTTGCCTTGCGTGAAAAATCTGTCAGTGTAGCCGCGACAACTCAGCCCAGAATAATAATAATAATAACGTTCTCGGAATTTGCGCTTTCGTTTGAAGGGCGACAAAGGTGACAGAGGGTTGGATGGATTTCCTGGAAAACTCGGTGCCAAGGTAAGAATATCTTCCGTTCAAACAGCCGGACGGAGGTGGTGGCTTTCGAACGTGGCGTTGTGGTCCGGCACCGTGCGTGAATGCAGAGAGGGTTGGTAGATTGGACGAGTGGCAAAATGTTTCATTAGACCTCCTTTGCATTAACTTCTAAAATGCCCCTCCCTTTCACCTCTGTCTAGCGAGCAGTTTAAATGGGTACAGTACACCACAGTGAGTCGATCAGCAGGTTATGTATGGTGGGGTAAAGTGGGGATACTTCCACCTCTGAGAACACATCCGGGCAGCATGAAAAGTAGACCAAATTACCCTCCTACGTGGGTTCTAAAGAGCTCCTTCTACATCATTAGACCTCCTTTGCCAGTACCAAAATATAATAATAGGGTTTTTCCCCTTTTTTCTGGCAACAAAACTGAAACCTTTTAACGAGGATTCATGTCTGCATTAATCACAATACTTGCAGTCAAAATGCAAACCAAAACACACTATGATAATATATGCATTGTCCTTGAAACTGATTGGTCCACACCAAGGGACGGCTTTCTTTTGAGCCTCGACCCAATTGGTGCTCGACCAGAGGACGCCAAAAGGCGTACAGCTCAAAGACAATGCACTATCAGAGTAATGAGGGCTCGGGGTGAGCATCTACATCATGGTCGAGGCTCAAAAGAAAGCCATCCCTTGGTATGGACCAATCAGTTTCGAGGACAATGCATATTATCACAGTGTGTTTTTGTTTGAATTTTGACTGCAAGTATTGTGGTTTATGCAGGCATGAATCCTTGTAAAAAGGTTTCAGTTTTGTTGCCAGAAAAAAGGGGAAAACCCTATTATTATGGCAAATGTTGTGAACTCCCTTCCCGTGGGCATTAATTCTTTCATCGGTCCGTTCTGTGTGGGATAAAGTGCTGCTCCATCGTATGCATGGGCTTTCCGCGGGTACTCTGGTTCCATCCGACTTGTAGAAACACTCCATAAGTGGCTAAAAGAACATCTACATTATTTTATTTTATTTCTACCTACGTGACTTTACCGAAAGAACCAAAGAGTATAGAGTAGAGAACTGCAGTGCCTTTGTTGGCGCTCGCTCACCGCCTGGCAGCCTTACAACTTGGTCTGGGGTTGATCAGCGATTATGAGATGGAATTTGCATGAGCGACGCAGTAGAAAATGAATCATCAGAGTAGATTTTATTTTAGGTGGTTTGTTTCGTGCTGACCACCGTGTGTCTAACACGGCTGGGGTGTTTGCGGCCAGCACGGTAGTCTTTCACCCACCTAATCTCTGATTTCCTTTCATAACATCGCGTTATTTTTTTTATTGCTGGGTGGATCAGGTGGCGAGAGATTACATTGCAATATTTGAATTCAGCTGAGCGTGCATATTTGTGTTATTTCAGTATTACCCATGGCTCGTCAACAAAAACTCAATTCAGGCAGTGGTATCCAGCAGCTTAGTTTTAAATAAAAGGTCAAGGTGTAGCCCTGAATGTACTTGCCCATGGCACTGCTTAGGAAAGGGCCTCCACTAGAAGGAGCTCTAATAATAATAGGGGTTTTCCCCTTTTTTCTGGCAATAAAACTGAAACCTTTTTACGAGGATTCATGTCTGCATTAACCACAATACTTGCCGTCCCTTGGTGTGACCAATCAGTTTCAAGGACAATGCAGATATTATCATAGTGTGTTTTTTGTTTGCATTTTGACTGTCCAGTCCACCTCGCTCATTCCCTTCGTTCGCTTCAAGCCATTGTTGGCTTCTACGGCAATGCCCCCCTTGTTGAATTTTGTTTCAACTGAGTTATCCCAACATGCCTGACCCGATATGGTTCTGAGAGAGAAATAATCGTATGAATAATGGACATCAATATTTTAACCAATTTTTTTTTAATTGCGAGGTGTCCTAACCAGCTGGTAACTGCAAGCGCATACAAACAAATCAACGGACGCTCTGCACGCATGACGTAATTCTTGTGTGCTCGCTGGTCACTCTTGGAAACCGCATTGCTTGCGATCAATGAATTTAGAAAGGTATTTCATATCGTTCTCGGTTACCACATGGATTTAGATTTATCGTAGTTATCTCATATTGACAGATTAATCCGTGATCATTCACCAATGACTCTTCTGCATATGATATAATTTCACACATTTATAAATCACCGCACGTACGCCCCTGGGACATTGCCACGTAGCCCTCAGGGGTCCGCCTCGTACCCTCCGGTTAAGAACCGCCGCTTTAAGCCACCCACTCCAGCTTTGGGGACGAATTCCACCCGTTGCCCTCTGGCTTAAGAAGGAAGTTTCTCAGAGTGCGTTCTTTTTTCACAAGACGATTATTACCTTCAACGAGCAGTGGAATTGAGTGCAGTGAAATTGTTGTCACAGACAGGGCGCTGTGAATGCTGTGCTACGTTGTGAGAGTTTCTCACTGTGTTTACTTGACTATTTCCCACCCCTTCCTCCCAGGGAGAAGCTGGCGAGAGTGGTAGGCGTGGCCTGGATGGTGAAAAGGTGTGTAATTGATCTCCACGGCACGCTTATTTTGTTAAGCCACTGACTGCGGGCTTCAGAGAGGCAACTGCAGAGCAATAATAATAGCCCTTTCATAGGGTTTGCTTTGCACCGAGCGTCTACGTATCGCAGCCCGTGGTCACGGCACAGCTTTGCACAGCGTGTCGAGCAACTCTGTTACGAATTTGCGGACGTGACGATTGCACGGGTGTGCGATGTACCATGGCGACACTTGGAATCTCTCTGTCTGTAGAGATATTGTATACGCAATGTAGGGGGGGGGATGCTGTGTGACGGTGAGCAGCAAATGCAGAGGTCACCGGTTCGATTCAATCTCCCGATGCGGCAATAGAAGCAGTGGGCGACTTCATTCTTGAACCCCACCCACCTCCACCACCCCCCCACCGACCTCCGTACACCCAGAAGTCTATATGACTACACTGCAGTCAGTCGGGCTATCAGTAGGTGCCGCATATGGTGGCCTCAAATGTGGATTCTCCCACCTCTCCTGAGACGTCTGCCCAGCGTGGAAGAGTAGGCCAATTACCGTCTTAGAGGACCTCTTCTCAAGAGCTCTCCAGAGTGTGATTCCCAGCTATTGGCTAACTTCAGGAGCAAGTGATGTCTGCACGGGCATGCACCCCCCCCCCCCCCACACATCCCTCTTCCCCCCTCCCGGCTTCATCAGCTCGAGCTGACCAGCTGTGGTGAGATATGGCAAACAACGTCCGTGGCAGATGCGGCATATGGTGGAGGGCTTCATCCCGCAGCCGATTGAAAAAGAACCTCACGGTTTTTTTTTTTCACCGCATTTGTTATTTTCATGAAAAGAGCCAAGATCAGGAAGTCATCGTCGCCAAAGCCATCGATGCCACCACCACACCTCGCTGCCGATGCCTTCCGCCCTCCTCCAGATCCCGCAGCTGCTGCGCAGTGGAAACAAAGCGGCCTCCAACGATCAGCCCTGACAGTATAAATATATTTTTTTTAAAGCAGCAATCTATTATGATGAGTACTTTGCGACATTGTGGAAAAATGGCCATAACAAATAAGTAAATATCTAATAAATAAACAAGCATACTAATTAATTCATATCAATCGGAGGTCACGCCGTCCCAGGTTTGCGTCATGTGCTGTTCGTGTGTGTGTGCGCACGTGTGTGTGTGCCCATGTGTTTATGCTTGCGTGCGTGTGTTTATGTGCGTGTGTGCGTTTGCGTGCGTCTTGGTGACACAGGGCGACAGAGGGGAGCTGGGGGCTCCCGGTCTGACGGGCCTTCGGGGAGACAAAGGAGACCAGGTGGGAGCTGCACATGGCAACGTACCCAGCGCTAAGCTGCCAGGCGTAATGAAAAGAGCGCTGCAAATGAGAATGATTATAGTCAATGGCACTGCTCACCCTCTTCTTCATATCAGATTGCTTTGGTTCACTCTAATAGCTAAGCTTGAGTGTGGCCAGGTGGCTCGGAGGTTAGATCATTGAGCTGGCACTGCTGGAGACCTTGGTTCAAATCCAGGTCCCTGCCTTGGCTTAAACCAGGTTCTCATTTAGTGGGGAGTTGATCAGTCTCAGCCCAGTTACCAATAACTGCAATGGCAAAGAACCCCATCGCATTAAAATTTGACGAATAAATGAGCACTGGGCTATGATTTAAAGCATGTTCTCAAGTAGAGGTGAGTTGATGGTGTCAGTCCAGTCACCAAAGACCACGATAGAGTATCACAAGAAAAAAGGCGATGCTGGGTTGGCAGTGGTGCACAATCACAAATACCACGAATACAACACCCGTGTCAACTACACTGCCCTAAAGAATAATAAGAATATAACATGTGACATTTCAAGCAATGGCCCTTCTTTATAGCAGAGAAATCCTCTGCAGAGACATCCTCGGCTATGAAGAAGGACCACTGCCAGACATGTCAAGTCAATACACATTCGTCAACAAAAGTGTTATTGTCTCAAAAGTGGTATTGACTCAACACGCACGTGCTGAGTGTTTTTTTTCTTCTTCATCATGTAACTAAATTCCAGCTCTGGCAATTAAAATATCAGTCAGACCCACGTGCAGCGGTAAAGATTACTCTCACATGGCAGAGTTAGTGGCAAAGGGTTGCGCCCTCTACTGTGTGGACCAGGCTACTTGAAGGGGGGCGTCTCAGAGGTAGCTCTTTGATATCCAGTTCTGTGAACGATTCTCCATAACCAAGGGCTGCCCTGCGCTGCATGAGATGGGGAAGGAAGGACGCTTCGTCTCGTCACTTGCCGCCGATTGCAAAATCAGAATAAAGTTGCGGGGCAGTGACACAAATGACAAATTGAAGGAAGATAAATATGCCCACGGATATTTCAAATGAGCAACATTTAGATTGTTGTCCTTCCGCCGCACCTCCGATTAGTATGGTTGGCTTCGTACAGTGCGAAAGAAGTTCAACATATTTCGATTTAAAGCTTTCGTGACTGCAGGGATTCATCTTCTTGGTTCTTTCGGTCAAGTCACGTAGAATGGAAATAATACAATAATAAAAATAAAACATAATAAAATAATTCTCACGACGTTTCGGCCACAACGCAAGCAGCCGTCCTCAGGTGGAGAACAGGTCTGTCGAGAAGACAGAGTCACCTGAGGACGGCTGCTTGTGTTGTGGCCGAAACGTCGTGAGAATTATTTTATTATGTTTTATTTTTATTATTTTATTATTTCCATTCTACGTGACTTTACCGAAAGAACCAAGAAGAAGTTCAACATACATACATAAAAAAAATATTTTTTGTGCCATTGGCTTTAATGCAAATATTCGCGAATATATCCACTCCTACATTTGTCCCTTAATTCATTTATTATTAACGTTTTCCCGGTCTTAATAATTTTGCCCGAGTACGCAGATCTGACGTCTCATCCCATTTACTGTGTGGCGACATGGGGTCATTGCAGATACGATTGATTAGGAATACATTCTGCCACTTTGCTTGGCTTGTAGGTTTGAAACTTCAAACAAGATTGCTGAGCAGGCAAGTCGGAAACTCATTCGCACGCCGGCCTGGCCATGACGCGACTCCCAAGATTGCGGAGCGAATTGATCTGTCACAGATTTTACAAACTCCCTCTTGTCATCCGACCAAATCCAACATGTGAGAAGGATAGCATGTGAGTGTGCGTAAGTGTGCCTGGGGGATTGCTATCACAGTCACTTGAGTACCCGACACTACTAACTGGAACGACCTAGGTTCCATTGCTGGTCATGAATTGCATCAGCAGAAAAGTGGTGCTCGATACAGCAATCGTGCTGTGACGGTTCCACCTGAAGACGGAAGCTTGTGTTGCCTCCGAAACGTCGTGATTTTTATTTTATTTTTTATTTTACTTTTATTAATTTTATTTTTTACCTATGTGACTTTACCGAAATAACCTAAGAATAAGTGGTGCTAGTATCTGTCCTGGGCCTCCTTACGTTAACTGCGATTTGACGTGAAAACCCGGTGCCATGAGGAAATACCAGAACTGGGGAATCCAAGGTGACTGGTTGAGGTGCTGCTCATGTCACCACCTATCATGTGCTGGCTAGCAGCGCTTGCTGCATTTCGTCTTTAAGGCTAATTGGGTATCTTTCCCCCATAGTTTGTCTTTGAAGCTAATTTGGGTATCTTTCTACGTATGGCAACAGTCATATCATGAGTCATCCATTGTGCTGTATTCCTGGTGTTTTGGGTTTTAATTCCGACCAGCACTTGCCCAACAGCAATGCAGTTCAGAGGGGAGATCTTTTTGTGTATTGCATTCTGTGTGGGGACCAGTGACACGTAGTTATTGCGCTGTGCTTTGACCTTGGTGACCTGAGTTTGATTCACAGCCGTAGCTAACATAAGAGGCGAATGATATCTGAACTGATCCTAGGCCTCCCCTAGGGTGACTCAACCTTAAAAAGAGGACCTGATGCGGTGTACAGACATCAATACTTGGGGAAGGGGACACATGTGTTGGTCCTACCTGACATCATGCAGGACTTAATAGGTGTTCACTAACAGCAATTACCACTAGAGTGTATCAAAGGCTATATGGGGGGTCTTAGTTTTTTTTTTATGTGAGGCCTGCATGGGATTCATGTTCTTTGAGTCTTTCGGTAAAGCCACGTAGATATAAAAATAATAATATTAATAATATATTAACAATATCACGACGTTTCGATCGCAACACAAGCCATTGTCATCTGGTGAAAAATGTAGCGGGAGAGCTGCTGAGGCAGGAAAAGCTTTAAGTTAAAAACCTCAGCCACATGAAGTCAAATATCTAAGTTAAAACATGAAAGTCTGTGGTCACAAAACTTCTCCAGAAAAATCCTGCTTTAAACAAGCGATTAAATTTCTGCTTTGAAGGTAAATTGAAACGAGCGTGCTGCAATTATTTAACAATGCGACGTAAAATGTTGAATGTTTATGTGCTTGATAAAAAAAAATTGTGCCCACGTGCGTCCCCCTTAAAGGCCATGAAATCTGGCATAGAATAAATACGCATTGCATAAAATGTAACATTCACTTTTTAAAACTCTGACATCTAAAGAACTAGTGCCCTTTCGGCACGAAAGCCCCGTTCTTATACTTTGTACAATAAAATCGAACGGGGGGGGGGGGGGGTAGAGAGAAAGCCCTCGCACGAAGCTACCCAACGTGGCCATAAAGTGCCATCGTAAAAATTGGGCTGAGCTTGTAATCAGATGCCTGCGCCACGCGGGACTGCGCGCAATTTACATAGGCGGTGCTGGCGCTTAACAAATGGCTTTCTAATTGCAGGGCCTGCCAGGTTTAGGCGGTCCGCCAGGTGACAAGGGCGAGAGGGGAGAAAGAGTGAGTACGGCGCGACTTCATGTGCATCATACCGACAGCGTTCCTCGTCTTGGCCTATTGATTATGCTGCTGTGTTTTATTTGCTCCTCCTTACCAGGTGTGGTGGCTGCAGCTAATTGCAGGGTGGTGTTATGCCAGAGTGTCACATAATTGGCGCGGCACGTTCCGCCACGCGCCACGAGGCGGAATTTGTATTTTTTTTTAAACGCTCTCTGCAGATCAGTCCGCCGGCTCTGAATGGAATCGCTCGACCGATCGCGCTCGCACGCACACCTGCAGGAGCAGTGGCTTTCCGCTGTGCGAAAAAAAATACGCGGAAAAAAACCGCGGGGATGTTACAAAAAAAACAATTTTGTAAACTGCCCACTCGTGTCGGACGCCTCTTTGAAAATCACGGTGGCCGAGGAACGATAGGATGTTTCCAGGTGGCCTTGATTGGCAACGGAAATAGATTTTCGTTGCGATGTATGCGCGATATTCCACCGGTCAGGTGCGCATCTGCGTATTTGTCCAGCGCAGCAGTGTTTTTTTTTAAGACAGGGCCTTTAGCCAAGTCTGAGTGCAGTCAGGCCAGATTTAAGTTTGCAAATTCAATTTAGAGAGGATCAAGTGTCATCATGCAACAAAAAAAAGATGTATTCTAGATTTGAAGCTTTCGTGACTGCAAGGATTCATATTTTTAGGTTTTTTCGGTAAAGTCACGTAGGTAAAAATAAATAATAAAAATAAAAAGAATAGAAATAATAATAGAAATAAAAATTATAAATCAGATATTTATTTTTACTACCTGACTTTACCGAAAAAACCTAAGAGTAAAAAAAAGATGCTTCTTTTGTTTAAGGAACTGCTTTGTGACGTTGTTTATTAAGAAGCCACCATCTTGTTCTCACGTGAATTATGGGTCTTGAAATATTGAGAAATTTTTTACCGAATTCCACCCCCCCCCAAAAGAATAACTCTTCTCGTGATTGTCGTTGCCGACCCCTCGTATAGACTGTGTTATTTCTTTCTTTTGACCTCATTACTCCAGCCCTAAAAGAAATGCACGCCAGTCAAGTTTGCTATTACATTGCGGTGAGTGTAGCGGCCTCTAGTGGCTGAAGAGGGCACGTAAATCCATAACATACGAGGTATGCAAATAAAATGTGTATTTATTCTGATGTGTGCGAATTTGAGGCACGTATCGTGGCTTTCAGGAATCGTTATTAACCCATGGGTTGATGTCCCTTTTCACACCCACGTATTACCATTTAAAAGAAAATATAAATGAAGACATTTATATTGGGGGTGGAGCAGTCATAGAGCGGTTCATAAAAATAATGACATTTTCCATAGCATCGTAACGTGGCAATTCATAACAGAGGCGCTGCACAAACGATAACAACATTAAACAATGGTTATTAGACCGTTATAAAAAAAATGTGTTCAGTTTTTTGTCCTTACCCCACACCTCCAAATAGCACGTTTGGTGACGTACGGGGCAAAATAAATTAACCATACATGCCTACGTGCTATTGGACAATTAATGAGTGTTTACATGTGGTCAGCACGGTTGGCTACGTACGACAAGGTTGTACGGTGTGAAAGAACTTTAACGTGCATAGGTGTCATTGGACAATTAATGAGTGTTTACATGTGGTCAGCACGGTTGGCTACGTACAGCAATGTTGTACGGTGTGAAAGAACTTTAACGTGCATAGGTGTCATTGGACAATTAATGAGTGTTTACGTGTGGGAACCGCGTATTGTTGGGTTAACGATGGGTACTCCCATCGCTTCCAAGACCGCTGGCCAGCATACGTGCATGATAGGTAGACGTGGTGACACTTGTGGCTACATCGACTGAGCCGGGTCTGTTTTGGACGAGTTTTCCAATGACGATCAGCAAACTCGGTGGCTCGCACGTGCAGCGGCAGACTAATGCTGCCTCGGCGGCCGGCACAAAGGCGTGCGGACAACCAAAGTTGTTTCTTTTGCCTTCGGAAACACACACACACACATCTCGCCGTGCGTCCTCGACCTTCGGGTGACGTTCTGGACTCGTTGGCAGACGCCGGCACGCAGGACTCGGCTCGGTACTGCGCGTGGGCCACCCTGTGCAGCGTCTTGCTGGCGATCAAGACGAAGTTATTTTTTTTCTTTAAACCGGCCTCGCTGCGGTGACCCCGCAAACCAACGTCGCTTTGTCTGCGCGGAAAGTCGCGAAACTCGGTCAAGCCTCTGACTGCCGCGGATCAACTTGAGCCGCGGGCTGTTTGTGACTTGGCCGTAGGCCAGGGGTCCCCAACCCCCGGGCCGTGGATTAGTCCCGGTCCGTGGCCTGTTAGGAACCGGGCCGCACAGCAGCAGGAGGTGAGAGCGGTGAGTCCGCGCGTGGCCCGCCCCCATTGTTTTATTTACCACTTTTGTCCGCGCCTCTTTCCCGCACTGCTCACTCGTCTCCGTGAAAAAAATTGTCTTCCACGAAACCGGTCCCTGGTGCCAAAAAAGTTGGACACCGCTGCCGTAGGCGATCGAGAAGTTGTTGAGATGCCCTCGGCCGTCGTGAACGGTTGCGGTAGTCGACCCCCCCCCACTCCCCCAGAGAACACAAAGCTGTTAACCACAGTCTTGACGGCGTCACAGGGGCAACTCGTTTCGTGCAACTTTTGATTCGCCAGCAGGTGATGGAAGCTGACTTGCTGACTTACGTAGAGCTCGGAGCTCGAGTCGAGTGTTGCGCCAAGGTCACAGCCTGGCTCTGGCAGAACCAGGCTGTGATGGATGCGCCTCTGAACCATTTAGCAGGGCTGTGCTCAGTTTTTGTTGGTGATGTGCGGTGGTGCACCGTATGAAGTCGGTTTTTCGATGGGTTCAGTTTCATCCGTTTGGATTCCATCAATCGTCAATGCAGGAAACAAATGGCACTGCACTGAATCGGAATCAACTGAATTCCCACATAAACTAAACTGCTACTAAACTACCTTTATTTTAGCAGGCAAGGCTCACTGAGCTTTAGAGCTTTTTTCAGAAGAGGCCTGGCCACACATGATAGCTCAACGAAGTGGCTTACGACGTGGAAACTTATAGCAGCCAAATTCTTTAAACGCATGTTCCTAAATGTGGAGGGTAAAAACCAGAGGACCCGGCGAAAAATCCATGCGACCATGGAGAGAGAGACATGGAATCTCCAAATATACAGTGGTCTCGTGGTCGAGGGTGGCAAACCCCTGCCGGCAGATGGAGAAGGGCGAGCAACACGTGGTTGCCTCTGGCTGTGGCGTTAATCAGGTGAGCGCGTACCTTGGCGAGAGCCGTCTCCGTCCAGTGGCACTCTGTAGGCAGGGAGTACGTGTGTTTGTGTGTGTGTTGAACTTCTTTCGCACCGCACGTAGCCAAACCGTGCTAATTGGAGGGTGTGGGGGAAATGATAGCAAAGACACAGACACACGAAAACCACGAGAAAAAATACGCGGCGGGAGAAGAAAATGGCCTCGACAAGATGAGCTCCGATCTGGCGATGGAGCGGCCGCTCCTAGAAAATCTTCGACGGCACCGAAAGATTCGCAACCGGTTCCCAAGATCGTCACGACGCCGTCAGCTAGCCCACGCTTGTACGTACGTACACTGAACTTCTTTCGCACCGTACGTAGCCGACCTTGTTCATCGGAAGGTGCGGGGGAAGGGACAACAAACCGAAGACAAAAAAGCAGTTCTCAAGGAATGAGTTTTCAATCTGGATTTAAAAGTGCCATAGCTCCCAGTGGCTTCTGAACATGGCAAGGCAGAGCACACGGCCGGTGCGCTGTGTGGAGTGAGAAGCGGGTGAACTTCAGCTGTGAACGGTGCGGCCTTGCCCATTTTCCGTCGCCGTGAACTTAACGAGGACCCCTGTACAAAGGCCTGGCCGTGGGGCGGCCGTGACGATGCCGATGATTCCCTGGTGGTGCCACACCTACTGCTCATTCCAAAATCGATGATACTGATGAGAATGCTGACGCTGAAACCGATGATACCGCCAATATTGCTGGAAATGAATGATATTGCCGATACTGCCACGACCGATACCGAAGATGCTGCTGATACTGCTGATGGCGAGACTGATGATGATGATGCTGCTTAATCTGAGGCCACAGAAAACTGCTGTTGCAGATATACCGACGATGCCGGGGATATTCCTGGTGCGCATATCGATGATGCTGCCAGTACTGCCGCCACTGAATCCGGTGATGCTTATAACACCAGCTGATGGTGCCGCTGGTGAAGGCGGTGCTGATAATGACGTTGCCTATGATGACGATAGTGCTGCTGCTGATGATGAGGATGATGAAGTGTATCGCCGTGTGAAACACGGGCGAGTCTGTGACGGTCTGTGAGGGTTTGTCACTGTGTGTCGTCTGTGAGAGTCACCACTGTCACAGACGTCCCCTGTCTGCGTTACACTGTTTGTGTGTTAGTTTGTTGTCCTTCCCCCGCATACCTCTGTGAGCACGGTTGGCTACGTACGGTGTGAAAGAAGTTCAATATACGCTGTTTTACTCGCTGTCCCGAGGTTGATTCTCGGCCACAGCTAACATCAGGGGCAAGTGATACTGGTAGGAACCTCCTGGTTACACCAGCCCACAGGGGATTATTGTGTCCATCCGTCCGTCCGTCGTGCACCCAAAAATGGGGCTGGGTGGAGAGGGGAGGGTGGGGAGGGGCTGGGTGGGGAGGGTCGGGCTGGGTGGGGAGGGTCGGGCTGGGTGGGAGGGGTGGGGCTGGGTGGGGAGGGGCTGGTCACTCCGTGGTGCCCTTATAAAACTCAACGTTTAACCTACTCACGCCGGCTTGTGCCCTTTCTCACAGTCGGCCATATTTACGGAATACACCACGCCGCCGTTGACCCTGGCCATTGACCGAGCAACCCAACGTTCCTACCACCTCCCTCCGCAGGAATGTGTTATCTGAACCAGTCCTGGGTAACCCCATTCACTCACATTTACTGACCAGCGTGGTGAAGTATAGTCAAAAACAACCCC